TTCTTCTATTCATCCTTCTAGAACCCTAATTTGTAAAGCCAAATACAGCTAGAACAGACAAGGATTGAGACGACATCTTAGAATCAAATCCTCATTTAGTTTGTACTTATACGTCAACAGGCCTGAATAATGTTGATGACACTATCCGCTGGAGAGAGGGTTAGCATCCAGAACGACTTGGGTTTTGTTTGGTTTCATCATGTTACCAGTTACAAACAACACTCTCAGCTTCACAATCAGTAAAGCTTTACAGCAAATTTAAATCTTGGTCCTATAAGAGTAATCTCAGAAGCCAGTTGTGTTTCTAAAATCCGAGTGGTTGCAGGAGGCCCACAAATGTCTCTGGTCTCCAACATGGTCTACCCACACAGCAAGTCTGGGGAGCTGTGTCCCTGTGACTGCAAACAGCCCTGGAAGCCCTCTACCACAGCTCCAAATGGGCTTTTGTTTGTTTGGGGTTTTGTTCTACAGAAAGGGAAGTTCTTTTGTGCAGAGTTGTATTGGGCGCCAGCCGGTAACTCAGAAGGACTGAAGTTTTAGCGAAGCGCTATCCATTTTATGATTTTGCAGACAAATCACAGGAAACTACTTAGAATTATTATGATTATTTTCTGTTTTCTCTCCCTGGGTACATCACATATCACTGAAAACACCGGAAACCTACGCACTGACTGCAAGAGACTCGAATTCCCATGAGCAAGTTGTCCTTGGGCCCTGATTGTCACTTGCCTGTATTCTATTTATCTCACATCTCAGCAAACACAGTATTACTTCTCCAATTGAGTAGGTTTGTGATAGCATCACTCCGCGGGTTATTTATCATACATATCTGTAATTGAATTACCTATTGCAGTAATGGGATTTACTCTCAAACATACATAAAATTGCAACATAAAATAAGATTGTTCCAGTGTGTTTGTCCTCATCATTCTGCATGAACTCTAGGTCGGCCAATTTCACAAGGAATACAGTGACAAATAATGAATGAAAGACGGGAAGATAAAAGATCAGCGGGTTCACAGCCAAACATAAAAGAAACGCATCCTGTACAAAACGTATTCTTTCATAATGTTTCTTTCAGTGCTAATCAGGAAGACAATTCTAGTACACGTGGAGGAAAAGAGTAAAAATGCAGTGACTGTACTCTTTCCAAGTGCATAATAAGTACTATGGAAATATGTTTAGATCTTAGGAAAGTGGGTTTGCTCTTGTCAAACAAACAGTACTCTTGCACAAAAAAAAAAAAAGAAGAAGATGACCGTGACTCCTACAGGAAAACGCTCTGGCCTTTTTGAGCTCACTTTCTAATACCCTGCTCCTGGTGACACCTGACTTGTCGTTGAGGGTGCCTGGCTTTAAAAAACCCTGTGAAACGGGGAGCCAGGTTTCCTAAGTTCTGGGATATCGCTAATGGCAAAGATGGACTGTATTAATACCCATAGGTTACAGTAGTGACTTCTCTTGAAAAAAGTCGTCCCCTTGCTTTCATCTGTTTAGTGTGAATTCTGAGTTATTAAAAGTGAAAAGCTTACATATATTCTAGCTTACTTTAATTTTTTTCTTCTTTTTTTCATGATCTAAAATTAATTTTGTGTTTCTAGGTAGCCAGTGTCTGAAAAATTCAGAGAAATAAGTGATGACATTTCCCAAACATACTACCAGCTGCTTCATGAAACTGCTTCCCAAAGAGCTAGTTCTCACCTGTTGAATATATCTCCATGATGCTACCAATCTGCAAGAATCCGAAACAGCAGATTGCCCCCTAGCTATGACAGATCATTTCTGCAGGGCAGCAGAGTGATAAAAACCAGGAATTTTCAACCAGACTTCTTCATCTTAATTTAGAAACTTTACTGGGAGCATATGTGTAAATGTCTATTTTGTCAACAAGAGAAGACAGCATACACATCTTAAAGCATTCATTTGAGGAGTCCAGAAAACAGTTAACTTTCACAATATGAATCTGCAAACAGATGCAGGTAGGATGAAAGGTCCCCTTTAGACACTTTGCACTTTATTGTAACTCAATTTGTTAGACACTGTAATTTACGTTTTTAACATTATTGAACATTAAAACTTGACACCTTGCTACTATAATTATATCCTAAGTAATTTATCTGGGTAACTATAGCAACAATTTCAAAAACATTTTAAAATTTTAAAAAATTGGTATGATTTTAGAAAGAAGACTTATAAAGGATTTAATGCAGGATGTAGGAATGCTTTTCTCAAATAGTTGTGCCTATGCTACTACAAAAATACTTGACTGGAATTTATTACAAAATAATTAACTCAGTCTACCTCACACACCATGTGACTTGGAGTCCAAACCTCTTTCTTGGGATTAGTTTCTGACCTTTGTGAACTCTGGACTTCTTGATCACTTATTTACCTAACAGAATGCCTTTTTATCTTTGGCTGGATATTTGTCAAAGTTCTACTCTCCCCTCCTCCACCTTCCTGTATGTGCATCAGAGGCAAAGCCTCAATTTCAATGACTCCCTGAGAAGAAAAACAAGGACATTCGGAATCCTTATAAACAGTCCCCACGTTAATTAAAACCATGCAATGGTTCAGATAGGCAGTTCTCCCGACATCAGGAATGGCCGACAGTCCCCAAAGACCGGGCATCTATTTTGAGCAACTAACACACAAGAGAGAGGAAGGTTCATTGGTCTTATCTTTTGTCCCCCAAAAAGACACTAAAAGAGACTCTAAGCCAAAATTCTTATAGATCAAGGAACAGGCTTCAGATGGCCCAGCAACCCTCTAAAACATATGCAAAAACTTGCAAGACTGTGCTTACATTTACTTTAGTCTCATCATCATTAAGTTTTAATAGTCTCTGCACTGGGTCTCCATTTCCTTCGTCTCAGACATGGTGAAGAAATCATTTGAAAACAGCAGTAAAGAACACAGATTTATTTTTACCAAATTCTGAACATCTCAAAAACTTCCTTTGGACAGAGACAAGCTTTCCCACCCATGAGACCAAAGACTGCTCACAGCAAGGATCCTGCAGCTGTTTGTCATTAAAACACTAAGTAAGCTAGTACAATTTATAAAAGGCATAAAATGATTAGCATCACCCATCTACTTCCTATTAAGAAAAGTACCAGTTGGCTTAAAAAACAAAAACAAAACAAAACAAAACAAAAACATGTAAACTAGGTACCAGTTCAGCAACGCCAGAGTCCCACGAATATACAGTGTGTTCATGAGCAGCACAGGGGATGAACTACTATCTCAAAAGTTTTTACAAGAAACAAACTCAAGTGGCCAATTGCATTTAGGACTGCTTTTCCATGTAAACCAATATGAAGCAAGAAATCTGGGGGAATCTTTGTTTCTTTGGGAGTAAACTCAGTCCCTGATGTTACTTCAGTTTTACACCCTTAGAGTATTATCTGCTTTCGCTGAAGTTTGCAAACAAAAGAAATTATGATAAACCTCACCCTCTCTTAAATAATGAAAATAGGATTAATTAATCCTAATTAAGTATTGAAAACTCTTTTCATTAAAGCCTGGTTTTGTCTTTCTGCATCTCCTCATGAAAGACTGTAATTAATAACGCATCTGCTGTTCTCAAACTCCACCGTTATGACAGAGCTCTTCTGGGTAAGCTGTGACACACAATCGTTTTTCTTAAAAATGAGCTGCAACAATTGTTTGCAACTCCTGGTGTTTAATGTACTTGTACGGAGTAGAACTTTATGTCAGTATTAAACGTAACACTAAGTACCTTCAATTTCTTTTTTATTTTTTTTCTGGATAAATACAGTAGTCACAAGGAGAAAGACGAATGTGCAGGCAAGAGTTTGCATGAAAACATCTGTCTCTGCAAGAGACCTTTCTAGTTACAAGACTTGCGTCCATGTTCGCCTGTCATTTCTAACAAGGCAGAAAGCTTTCTGTGGACAGAAGACCAGCTCCTTCCAGCCTCTGCCTCCGCCACGAAATTACAGCAAGAGCTGCCTGGTTCTGCTGATCGCTGCCTGAACCCCCACCCACTCACCGAGGACAGAGCAACTGCCTGTAGCATCCATCCTCTCCTCCTCTCTGAGCGCTCGCTCTCAGCGCCCCCTGCCGGGGTTTTCCGGGACGCCGCGGGAGCAGCAAAGTTAAATCCCAACTCTGGGCAGCCGCATCCAGGTACAAAGCGACCAGGGCACTAGGAGGTGAAACAAGCTTCCCGCCAAAGCCCCGGGAATCGGGATCTGATCGCGCTAGGCCCAGCACTGAGCGCCACGGGCTGTGATACTGGGGAATCACTCCTCCGTCCCAGTCCTCTGCAAATCTTAGAAGGAACATTTCCCTCCGGGGCAAGGAGCCAGAGAATGTTAAATCCGCGGAGCAGCGGAGAGATATCAACAGAAAAGGGGCTTGCCTAGTTGCAGCCCACTGGCAGGCGCTTCCCCAGGCCTCTGCATCTCCGCCTTAGTCGCCTTCATTAACCAAAGAGCTTGGCAGAATTGCGCCCAAGTCCCACTGCCTCCCGGTTCGCGCGCGCGCCGCAAAGCCCCTGTAAACGAGATCCGGAGACGGTGCACTAGCCGGCTGGGCTGCGGCGAGGTGGCAGCTCCCCGATGGAGAAGCCGCGACCGCCGGCCCCCGGCACCCGACAAAGCAATACTGGCCGCTCGCTGGTTGCACACAGATCTCCACTGCGCACCTTTCGGAGGTGTCAGACAGCGGTCCAGTCTCGCCCACAGCCGATTAGCCCACCACGACATTCCCACTCCTTACCTCCACACTCTCAGACCTCTGCAAAGGCGAGAACACAAACTTCGAGCCCGTGCACTAGCTCAACTGTGGGCGCCCCCGCACTGATGGTGGTCCTATTCCAGTACGCGCAGCTACCAGGCTGTCCCCGCCCAGGTGCCTAGAGATCGACCCTATCCGAGATCTACACCACCCACTAGCCAAACGCTGCTGTCCCTGGGTCCCAGCTACAGGCTCAGTCCACCGCCACGCGGGGATCGGGCAGGGAGCTCGCTCACCAGGTGCGGGGCGCGCTCCTCGTGCCAGTCATCCAGCGCCCTGGGGCCCGGAGCGGCTCCTCTTCAGCACCGTGAGAGAGAAGTGGAGGCAGCCAATGCTCTCTGCCACTTCCCCAAAGTCGCCCCCTAATCGTTGTGCTCCACGCTGGGGACCCGCTCGACCTCAAGGAGCACAGAGTTCTTGGGCGCAGGGTCGACCTGCGGATGGGCAAGTTCGCGCCCAGCTCAGGCAACGAACGAGGGGGCAAAGTGGGGTGCCCGAGCCAGCTCCACGGGGTAGCTGCGAGTGGGAGAAGGGAGCACCCCGAGACCTACTGCCCTGGCCCGGGCGCCCCCGCG